TGTCAATTATGGTCACATATTTGTGACCATAATTGACAAAAGGTACCTTATGGCGGGTAGTGAAATTTGTCTTTCTAGCCTAAGAAATCCAACTTCCAGAGCCCCAATTGTCATAAAATTACTCCACATGATGCAAAAAGTTATCATGAAACTTTTAGAAACAATGATTGTCTAACAAAGCACTCACAGGTTGATATTTTCAATTATAACGATCAATTTTAAAATCCACCATAAGGGCCCTTTTGTCAAATATGGTCACATTTTATCCAATGAATGCAATGTAGTGTTAAAGAATGTCAGACTTGGAAAGAGATTTAAAAGGTGAAGGGTTATTCCTCTTTTTGAGCAGATGTATCTTTAGTGGTTTGTGATGTATGTTTGTGACAAACATATGTTATATTATGCATACATATTTAGTATTGCATATATATCCTGTGTGTTTACATTACTTGATGTTGATGATGTTTCCTTTTTTACTTTGCTTTAAGGTATTTACAGCTGCAAATTATTTAATGATTCAGCAATAAGGTGTAATGTAATACTTTCATACCATTGTGAATGTAGAAGCCTATTGTCTGATTTTGTTTGTGGTAACTAAATGTATTTCTAATAATAATCACCATTGTAACATTATGTATCATTGTAGCTCTTTCATTAGTTGTGCTTTCACAGATGGGCCAGTTTCCAGCTGCACAGGGTTTATATCACCATAGTTTTAGCAATTGAATACATAGTAAGATAAAATATTGTGAGATTTCATAGTTTTTTATTATTGTGTTATAGATAATGATCCAAGGCTATAATTCTTCTGATGATTACCTCATTAATCATGGCCACAGTTACAGTAAGTATTTTCTTTACTCATTATAAGTTATGTATATCACATAGTAGGAAGATTAAAGCTCAAGTATTCAAATTGTTTTGCCTTGTTGAACACTGTTAATCTAGAGCATTTCTATTGTACTTTCTAATTTGGCTTTACGCTGAAAGATATTTGACTTTTTATCATGTTATTAAGGAAAAAGTTATCTTTTTACATGTAGATCTAATTAATAAAAGTTATAGTTCTTAGTATAGGTGTTCCTCCTGCCCCTGCCTCTCTAAGGCCTGGCTCTTGGAATATTATTTGTACTAAAGTAAAATGGAGACAGAGTTGATTAAAAAGGTACAGCAGATTATTTCTAAATCTTACAAATTGACGATTCACTTGGCGAAGTTGCCAAATGATGTTTTGTCTCTGCTGCTGCAGAGCTGCCATTCCAGGTGGAGCTGCAGGAGGTGGCAGGCCTCCAGGTAAAGGGATTGCTACTGGAGGTGGTGGTGGTGGGCCTGCAGCAAATGATGGTGGTGGGCCTGCAGCAAATAATGGTGGTGGATGTGGTGGGCCTCAAGTTATTGCCGGTAGTGCTGTTGGTGGTGGCGGTCCTCATGGAGGTGGTGGTGGAGGCCCTCCATCTCCAGCTACTGGTAGTGCTGGAGGTGGTGGGCTTCTAGCTACGGCCGGTAGTGCTGGTGGTGGTGGCAGGCCTCCTAGAGGTGGTGATGGAGGCCCTCCATCTCCAGCTACTGGTGGTGCTGGAAGTGGTGGGCCTCCAGTTACTGCCGGTAGTGCTAGTGGTGGTGGCGGGCCTCCTGGAGGTGGTGGTGGGTTCCTTCCATCTCCAGCTACTGGCAGGGGAGGAACTCCATCATTCTCATCATAATTCAAAAACTACCAAAAAAAAAGAAAATATATTGATGGCTACTGTAAGTTTGTAACTAAACTAACTTTCTGCTTTTTCAAAAAAGTTGCAAAACTTCGATAACAGTTTATTTAAGAGCTGTATGCGGACTGCGGATATTGCCGGGAAAATAGCAAATGGAGCTGAATGTAAACTTAAGTAGTT